GCACATCTTCATGTTTCCTCTCTGGCTAACCTATGTATATATTTCAGATAAATACCCACCAATTCAATGGAAAAAAATATTTCTGTGCCTATCAACCTTGTATATGTATTTCTTAGCCTTGAGGTTATAAATGACATGTATGTCTCAGGTGAAATGATTATAATGTAATAGATACTCAGGTATGATACTCACATCCCCCATCCAAGGAAGGATGTGTTGCCCCAGCTGCTGGGAGCTCTTCAGCTACCAAACCCTGTTGTCAGCCCCTTCTGGAACTGCCTCAGTTGTAGAGTACACCTCACTCAGAGTTTACTTTTTTCAGTGATAGATGGATGCAGGCATATAAAAGCCTGGCCAGCTCATCCAAACTCAGGACAACTCAGAAGGGCCATTCCAGCTCCAGACCTCCCTATTGGATTGACCAAGGCTATCACTAATCCTGCATCCTAGCTCCATTTCTCCCTTTGCCCCAGCATCAATCCCATAGGCATTTCTTAATAAACCTCCTGCACCCTAAACTCAGCCTCAGAGTCTGCTTCCAGGGAAAATCAACCTGTGAAATGTCATAAGTTTGACAGTATGGTTATTTTTGCTAAGGAAAGTTAAAACAAATAGAGTTACAGAATACCTGTAAACTATGTACATTAGTGACAATCACCAGGAAATTCTAAGGTTTAATAAATAAAGCAGCCTTGGGGTTGGCTATATTTTTAGTCTTTTGCTTTCATAAAGCCTAAACCTTGATATGTCATTGTATAAACATGTTTTCTGAAGTGAATGCTGATAGTGGCTATCTTTGTCAACTCTAATGCAGCAGAAAACAGCATAAGAATTAAAATGGATGAAAATAATATAGGAAAAGCAAGAAGTCATCTTTATGGAAAACTGACAAAACCTGAATTATATTTTAAGCTCAATCAAATACTGAATTATGAAATAAAATGCGATACAGGCTAAAAATATTTTTGTGAAAGGTTTTTTTAAAGACAATCCTTGGGTTAGGCTGAGAGTTCACAGATATAACATCAAAAGCATGATCCATAGAAGAAATAATTGATAAAGCCTCTAATAAGGGGCTTGCCTCCAGAATATATAAAGAAATTCTACACAACTCCATTATAAGAACACAACCCAGTTAAAAATGGGTAAAAGGTTTGAATGGACATTTCACCAAAGAAGATTGTAAATGGCTAATAAGCACATAAAATATGCTCAATATCATTAGTCACTAGGGAAATATAAATTAAAAATCACACTGAGCTATCATTTCATAATAGAATGATTATATAAAGAGACAATACCAAGAATTGGTGAGGCTGTGAAGAAACTAAACATCTCATTGCTGGTGGAAATGTAAAATGGTACAGCCACTTTAGAATCATTTTTGGCAGTTTCCTAAGATGTTAAAGGTATATTTACCATATAACTCAGCAATTCCATTACTAGGTATGTATCCAAGAGGAATGAAAACATATGTCCACACAAAGACTTGTAAGTGAATGTAAGTGAATGTTCATAATAGTCAAAAAGTGGAAACAACCCAAATGCCCATCAACAGAGGAATGAATAAATAAAATGTGGAATATCTATTCAGCAATAAAAAGGAAAGAACTACTAATTCATGCTACATCACAGATGAACTTCAAAAACATCATGCTAAGTGAAAGAAACCAGATACAAAAGATTATATTGTATGGCTCCCTTCATACACAGGCCAATCTATAAGACACAAAGCAGGTTAGCAGTTGCCTGAGACTGGGGGTGGGAGCAGGGATTATCTGCAATCAAGCATTTTGAGGTGATGGAAATTCTCCAAACCTAGACTGTGGTACACACCCCATAATTGGTTGAACAACTCTATAATTAATTAAAAGTTATTGAATTGTTTGTGCTTAAAGTGAATTTTACAGTATGTAAATTATATCTAAGTAAAGCATTTTTTAGATTGGAAAATATAGTCTATTTAGAAAATAAATTGTATATGTAGAGAGAAGATTCATCTCCCCAAGGTAGGGGAGGGGGTCAAAGCTAGGAAACATGGTGACCATAGTTCAAAGACCACGTGGCCACACCAGAATTTAACAAAGCAATGGCCAATAAAACATTTTTTTATTACAAAGATGTGGGGTACAATTCAGGGTTAGGTATACAACAAACGTTGATTATGCAAAAAAAACAAAACAAAACCAGAGCACAAGAACACGAGTCTCATCTGAAAAAGAAGTGAGTGAAGAGCAAAGACCTAAGAGCCCAGGATGGCTGCAGGTGATCCACTCTGAATCCTAGACATTAGCTTTTGTTCTAGAAATGGAGACAAATGTGCCCACTCCTCTGCCAAATGAAGCTGAATTTATTATATCATCAGGCACAATTCTAGAAACATCAAATGACTTTCTGAAACAGAGATCTCAAACCATCCGGTTTTCACATATTCGTAAATCACTTCAAACATCCAGCTACATGTTCAGGGTGTGGCATTTAATCTCTACCCCTGACTCACAGAACTTTATAGTTCACTATGACTATGTTGTGTTTTTTGACAAAAATCCAAAATGATAGTAAATCCATAATTCTATCAGATTATCTCTCAGAATCTCTGGGGTCATATGATCCAGGCCTCTGATTCCAGTGTTTCCTCAATCTACATGTGGGAGTAAATTGAGCAAACTGTTCTTAGAAGTTATTCAATTTACTCTGGCATTCTATTTTAACACTTAATTACCATTAGTTGCAGCATGTCCATTCTGCTGATCCAAACCATTTTTCTGTTTGTCTTATTTCCATCCCAACTGGAGCGGAAAAGGTAACCATCTCCTTACTTTCATAAAGAGGATGACATTTGAAGATGACCTCTAATGGTACCTCCTAAGGCTTACTTCCCTTCAGCCTTTCCTCTTAGGTGCTACTTTCTACACTTCGAGTAACTGGGGGTCTTTTTAAAATTCTTCTGAATACTATAAATGTTCACACCTTGCCAAACATGACAACCAGTACCGGGCACCAAATACTAACATAATGTCAAATATGGCAGAGAGATCAGTTGCCAAATTCTTTAGGGTAATTTTATTCCTGGAAAAAAACAAAACACCCAGGAAGAACAGTGCTAAGGTATGCTTAGAATTACTAAAAATGTTAAGGAATTATTGGGTGTTTAGGGTGTTTAACCAGAAGAGAGGCTATGTAGAGGAATTGTAACAGAATGACACCAATTCTCCTGGAGGACAGACTGTTTCTAAGTGCCTACATACCCAACAGTCAGGAATGGGAATGAGAATGGGAAAAGAAAACGAATTGTGCCCCTTGCTCCTGGCCTCAATGTAACTCCTGTTTTAAGGAATAAATGTTTCCTAGTTATTTCTTTCATTAAATCCAAGTTACATCTTTTTGCTTATGCAACAAATAGGGAACCACAGATGTTGAGTGCTGGAAGGTATCAATGATCAAAACAACCAAGTTCAACATTTCTAATTTTGCTTATGAAGATACTAAGACCTAGGCAGGAGTGGCATGAGTGCCCAGTGTCACTTAGAGACAGGGCAGCAGCTAGAACAGGCCTAATCTCCTTTGATTGTTCCCTTACTGGTCCACAAAGGAGATAATTTTTAAAAATCAATATCTAGGAAGAACAGGAGAGACTCCCATAAGTGGACATCAGTATGTAAATGGCACAAAAAAAAGTCATACACTGTCCTATTTCTTTTTTTTTTGAGTTGGAGTCTCACTCTGTCACCCAGACTGGAGTGCAGTGGCCGCTCCCGGCCACTACAGCCTCGACCTGCCGGGCTCCGGCAATCCTTCTGCCTCTACCATGTACGGCTAATTTTTGATTTATTGTAGAGATGAGGTCTCGCCAAGTTGCCCAGGCAGGTCTCGAACCTGCAGGCTCAGGCAGCCCACTCACCTCGGCCTCCCAAAGTGCTGGGATTACAGGCTGAGCCACCAAGCCTGGCCTCATTTCTTTTCAAATAGGAACCTGAAACCACCCTGATGTCTTATTTTATGTATCTGCTTATTAAATTCATGCTCCAATAGTAATCATATAAACTACATCACTTGCTTTGTTTCTAGAACTTCTGCCTCAGGTGGGGAGCTCTGCCAGGGTCCTGGGGAAGCCTGGGCCCTCAAACTGTGGGTTGGGGCCTTCTGCAGAGGGGTAAAGTCATGCAAAACTCCCACTCCCCTGCAGAGGGTGCTCTAGGGAAAGCTTTGCCTATTGGGCCCTTCTCCCTCTCCCTCTAGGACCTCTAACTGGAATAGGAAGAGAGTCTGTAGGCCCTTTCCTTCTACAAGGGCCAGTGGGAAGGAGGCTAAGGTTCAAAGGAGAGAGACAAAGGATCTGTCTTCAGTCTAGGTCATGGTTTCTCAAACCACAGTACCATAGCTCTGGGGGGATGGGCAGCTTGGGGTGCATTCAAAGATATGAGATAACCTTGGCACCATTTCCAAGGACATGATCCTATTTAAATGTTTTTAGGGTGGTGGGTTCATTTTATTATTCCAATCAACATGATAATTAAAACATGGAATTTGCAGGAATTTTTAAGCCAAATCAGGAGATTCTAGTACACAAACAGGACATAAGGAAATGGAATTCCATCTCATGTCTTTTAGCCTGTGGCAGGGAACTGCAGGCTAAGCCTTCATGTTAACTCAATGCAAGTCTGGAAGAGAGGTGTATGGGAGGTACTGTCTCCAGAAGAAAGACCCTTAAGAGTCCATGTAAACACTGACCCGGTTCCAGTTCAAAGCCCTGGCAAGTAATGAAGAATATACACTTTTTTGATAGACCTTGGCTTATGCAGCACACACTCTATGGCTGAGTGGGGTCTGTGCTAGCTGGTAGTTTAAGGGATGTAGGGGGAGGGGAGAGATTCTTGCTGTCCTTAGAAACACAACCAGCAGGCACGATTAGAAACCATCTTGCTACCTGTGGGATTTTCAGAGAAAGATTTTATGCATTGACATTTGCAAGGCCAAAAATCTGAAAATGTAATACTTACTGTGTTTTTTTGAGTTACCATATCCTGAAAAGAAAAAGAAAAGATGAGCATATCATTTTTCAAAACACTTAATTTCCGTAAGCATAGCCAGCACTACCCCCATCATCCCTCACCCACCTTAGAGCAACAATTAATCATTTGAAACCTTCCCCTCAAAAAACTTTAAATAGAATGAACCTCTGAGAATTGTAAAACTCATATCCCAAGGAAAACTGATCATAATTAGTTTGCTTTTGAACTATCAGGGGGCACTTATGATAGGTACTAGTTATAGAGGCCCCTTGATGAAATAAGGGATTTTCTCCAAATAGTGCCAATGCTTTTGCCGAAAACACATTTTGAGATTCAGGTTTGGGGCAATGAGTGCCCCACATCTCTCCTTCCCCGAGAAGAATGTTAGCCATAGCAAGGAAGCACCCAGAAAGCACTGTGCTATCCTTGAGTCTGAAATTAGTTTTTTTTTTCTTTTGAGTAAGGATCGCACTCTTTTTTGCAGGCTGAAGTGCAATTGCATGATCACAGTTCGTTGCAGCATTGACCTGGGCTCAGGGGATCCCTCCGCCTCAGTCACCCAGGTAGCTGGGACTACAAGTATGCACCTCCACATCTGGCTAATTTTTTTGATTTTTTTTTTTTGTAGAGACAAGGTCTCACTATGTTGCCCAGGCTGGTCTTGAACTCCTGGTCAAGCGATGCTCCCACGTCAGCCTCTCAAAGTGCTGGGATTACATGAATGAGCCACTGCGCCCAGGTGGAACTATTTTTTTAATTGATCGATATGAAATGCACACCACAATCAGCCTTCCTTATAGAAGGAGTGTTATTGGTAAGATTCCTGATACCTCACTAGAACTACTTGGGCATGTTTAAATTCAACAACAGTTTTAGTCAGTTAACTTAGCATGAAAGTTAAGTAGCTCTTGACTGTATCATTAATATACTAAAAATCAGTATTTCTGGAAAAAACCATAATTAAATATTAAACCATAATGTTATTTAAACCATATTTAAATAATTAAATGGCTGTCCCATAAAATATGTTTTCTATATCCTGGGATTTCTAGTTCCTGAGAACAAGTATAGACTGCTTCTTCTGGTGCTAGATATAACTAACTACTTATATTTCCATTTTAGTAAATATTTTTTCATATTATTAACAATGAGAACTTATCTAGGTCATAAGACTTTCCAGAGGGCTTCGCTAAGGCATAGTTGAAGAAAACAACTGTACTGAATTGGAAAAATATACATTTGATTTTCATGTTTCTCATCAAAACACAGGTGAATAATCTATACTTTCATACTTTCTAAGTTCTAAATGTTTCTAAGCATAACTATTGTAGTGAAAATCAGACCAAGGCCTAGTGGCTCAGGCCTGTAACCCCAGCACTTTGGGAGGCTGAGGTGAGAGGATTGTCTGAGTCCACAGATTCGAGACCAGCCTGGGCAACTTGGAGAGATCTTGTCTCTACAATAAATAAAAAAATTAGCTGGGTGTGGTGGCACATGCCTGTAGTTCCAGCTACTTGGAAGATTGAGGTGGAAGGATCACCTGAGCCCAGCAGGTAGAGGCTGTGTGGTGGCTGTGAGCATGCCACTGCACTCCAGCCTGGGCGACAGAGTAAGACTCCAATTCATAAAAAAAAAAGAAAAAAGAAAAAAAATCAGTAAGAGAAAAGTCAATATCTAAATATTTGAAGTAATTTAGATGGATTTATAGTCTTTGGAAAACTATTCTAAAATGTAAAGTACACAAATAAAACAGCTTGTTCTTTCACTGCTATATGAATGACTTCTTAAAATATTGTACTGTGATATAATTACAGAGTACACATCTATGTAAAGTATATGTGATGTTTAACACATACAGTTTACACATCTGAAGCAGATGATATTTCTACTAGGAAATAATAATTACAGAACCCAGAAAATCTTATTAATACTAAATCTCAAGAAACACACAAACCAAAATGCTTTGGCATAAAATTGTACTACAGACTATTGATTTTTAATACTGAGGAAACTGGACTTTTAGAAATTATGTCTGGGAAGGCTTACTCTCTAGACCATTGTTTTTCACCCATGGTTGCACATTTGGGAAGCTAAAAAAAATCCCTATGCCCGAGTCCCACTCCCCAGAGACTGTGATGTAATTCATTTGGGGTGTGGCCTGGGTATGGAGATATTTACAAATTCTCCAAGTGATTCTGAAGTGCAGTCAAGGTTGAGAGCACTGTTGTAAACAAATTAATCCATTATACCTAAAACGATTTAACCTAGACCAGGATTTTCTGGCTACAATATTCAACAATATTAATATCCACTGAACTTTGAAATAACTCTCATTGGATGTTTACATTTTACAAACATAAGCATTTTACACAGTACTATGTTATTCACAAAAGTTTGCATCAAACTTGTAAAAATACATTTAGAAATTGTCAGCAATTAATGAGCTGTGCAGGAACACACAATATTTTAGTTTTACTTCACTTTCAGACCGGGGGAAGATAATATTAAATACCAACTGTGTCTATGCTAAAATATTCCACTCATTTTGATAACTATTAAATGTCTTCATATTATTATCCAAGTTGAAAGCTGATTTTTATAATGTGTAGCTCTGGATCAAATTGTCCATGAAGGGATTCAGAATGGTGTGTTTGCTTCAGTGGAAACTAACAGGAGTGTTTGCCTTGCTTCCCTAATCAGCCTGCTCAGGTTGCCTGCAAGTGCACAACTGTAGCACAAATGTTCACAGTGACCAGGAAGCCATCTATGTGAGCCAGAACCTGCAGGGAGAAGGAAGGAATTGCACAAGCAAGCCCTTTTATTCATTTATTTTGTGTCAGTATCTCACTCTGTTGTCCAGGCTGGAATACAGTGGCATGATCATGGCTCACCACAGCCTCGACCTCCTGGGTTAAGGCGATCCTCCTACCTCAGTTTCCCAAGAAGCTGGGACTATAGACATGCACCATCATGCCCAGTTAATTTTTGTGATTCTTTTTTCTTTTTTTTTGCAGAGATGAAGTCTCGTTATGCTGCCCAGGCTGGTCTCAAACTCCTCGGGCTCAAGCAATCCTCCCACCTCGGCCTCCCAAAGTGCTGGGATTACAGGCATGAGACAATCAAGTCTGTTTTTCTTCAACCTCCTGTGCTACAGTGACATGTCAGCTGGACATATAATTCTGCTTTCCCAAAATTAATTATTCAGGAGAAGATGAACAATACCCTTTACCTTCAATGAGAGAGCAGTGTCGGCATCAGTGTCGTGGTACAAGATCACATTATTGGCCATGTCAAAGCTTTCTCGAACTCCAAGATGGTAGAAGAGGGAAGGTTGTCTGGAGACATCACTCATGTCCACCACGGCAACATCTGAGATAAACAAGGAGAGAAGAGGTACGGGGAATGATCTGTGTACTTAATCTACTTGCAGATGATCACCAACACAGAACTATAGCAATCTGTATTTCTGCCATTAGGCTTTTAGGTAAAGTAGAAGTGGGGAAGGATTTGATTAAAATGACCCCATGAACTGTGGAAGAAAAGCAATAAGAATTTTAAAAAGGAAAAAAAATAACACTTCCTTCTTTAAAGTGCTGGGAATATAGCCTCACTCAGAACTTACTGATGGATTTATTTTTAATGTTATTATCGTTATGAAATATATCTTCTTGCCAAAAAATATATTTAGCCTATAAATAAAATATAAAGTATACTGAAATGAAAAACCATGCACCCGCCATGCAGCTCAAGTCACAGAGTGTTACCTGCACTGCTGGAGCCCCACATGCCCCCCCATCATACCTCCTCCTGCCCAGAGAAAACCTCAATCCTGATTGCTATATTTATCATTTTCATGCATGCAAGTTGTGTGTGTGTGTGTGTGTGTGTGTGTGTGTGTGTATGCGCGCTACAGACTGAATGTTTGTGTCTGTTCAAGACTCATATGTTGAAACTTAGTCCACGATGTGATGGTATTTGGAGATGTTGGGGTCTTTGGGAGGTGTGTAGGTCATGAGAGTAGAACCCTCATAAATTGGATTTAGTACCCTTAAAAGAAGGTCCAGAGAGCTGCCCTGCCCCTTCCGCCACGTGTGGACAGAGTGAAAAGGATCCTTCTGTAAACTAGGAAGAGGCCACACACCAGACACTGAATTTGCTGGGACCTTGATCTTGGAATTTCCAGCCTCCAGAATTATGACAAATAAATATCTATTACTTATAAGCCACATTCAGGCTATAGTGGCTTGTTACAGCAGTCCAAACAGACTATATGTATAAGCATATTCTATATATACAAGTATACATTCCTAAACAGTATGTTGTTTAGTTTTGCACATATTTGAACTTTGTATAAATAACATTATATTGTATGTATTCTTTGATTTGCTATTTTTGGTGATATTCAACCAATTTGTATGTCTAGTTCCAGTTCATGTCTTTTCAATTCTGTAAAGTATTGTGTTGTATGACAACTAGACCACAATTTCTTTGTCATCCTGCCTACGGAGATTTTATTCATTTTTTTCTTCTTCCTATTTCAAACTACTGCAATAGACCTTCTTGTCATAGCCCCTGGTTTACATGTCCACCATCAACTTGACAATATAAAATGCTCTTGGAGTCGTGCCCTGTAATAGAGACCTATTCAAGACAGAGGAGCAACTTAACTGCATCAATAACAAGCATGCTTAAATTAGCCAAGTAGTACTGGACACCATTCTAAACCTTGTTATTTTTGAGAAGATGACAGAGTTCCAAGTTTGATGGGAGCTTCCCCACCACGGGTAGGAGAGACATAGGAATGTAGTGTCCAAACTTATACTTGCACTGCTGTGACTCACAGAAAGTCATTGAAAATCCCAATGAAACAGACCAGAGGTGTATTGAACAGGGGCGTGAATAAACAAGAGGCAAGAAGGAGCCCTCTTCAGCACCAGACACTGCTGGCTCTGTACAGAGGCACTGGGAACCCGAGACCAAGTGCCACTAAGCCCTAGGGTGGGCCTTTTATTCTCTTATTTCTGGATTGCCTGCTGTATGCCAGCCATTGTGCTGGGTATGAGGGATAGTAGGGCATAATTCCTTTCCTCAAAAACAATACACAGTACTATGCAGGCAAGCAGAAGGAAGCAGATGTTTAGAATCACTGTGAGGAAAGAATGGGATAGAAAGAGAAGACAACAAGTGCAAAGAGCCTGAGACAAGCCGGGCCACTGCATATAACTTCCTGGGCCAGAACACCCCAGGAGATAAATGTGAAAGGGTCAGTAGGTACCAGGTGGCAAAGGGGTCTCAGGGCCATGTTAAGAGGCTAGAACTCTATCTACCTTGAGGCAATGGAAAACCTCTAGTAGGGATTTTTAATAACTTTTTATTAATGGAGAACTACAAATAAATATAAAAAGTAGACAGAATAGTATAATAAAACCTTCCATTCCCCCCAACAATGATCACCCCATGACCAGCTTTGTTTCTTCTCTACTGCCATCCATACTGCCCCCTTCCATATTATTTTGAAGTAAACCCCACCAGATACCATATCATTTTATCCTCAAATATTTCAGACTATATCACTAAAAAAACAACCATAGTATCAACATCTCATCTAAATATATTTTTAAATAATCATGAGCAGTTTTTTTTTTTGACAGGAGACTATTATATTCAAATTCACCCTTGAGAGGTTATTGCCGATGACAGGACAAATGTATATGCTGAGGAAACACTCTGCAGCCCAGAGTGGTCAGTGTATCTCAAATGGATAATTCTGCTCCCTACAGACAAAATAATACTGCAGTTGAACAAATTAAACATTCTGCTTATGTGACTGCTTTCTGGACTCTGTTATCCACCCAAATTGAAAATGATATGTTTCATAGTGATGCTATTAAAAAGTGGCAACAAAAATGCTAATTCTAAGGCCATGATGACTGCTATAATTAGTTAATAAAGGAAAAGAAGCATCCAGTGCTTTGGGAGGCCAAGGCAGAAGGATCACTTGGGGCCAGGGGTTTTGGAACAGCCCGGGCAATATGCTGAGACCCCATCTCTACAAAAAGTAAAAAGAATGAATGAGCCAGGTGTGGTGGCACACGCCTGTAATCCCAGCTACAGAGGCGGCTGAGGTGAGAGTGTCACTTGAGACCAGGAGTTCGAGGCTGCAAATGAGCTATGATCATGCCACTGTATTCCAGCCTGGGTGATATAGTGAGATCCCAACTCTTTTTTTTTTTTAGATTAGAAAATATAGTTTATTTAGAAAGTAAATTAGAGAAAGAGGGGAGGGGCTTCACCTCTCCAACATAGGGGAAGGGACCAAAGCTTAAGAAAACATAGCCTGGCCATAGCTCAAACAGTACATGGCCACACCATAGCTTAGCAAGGAAACGGCTGAGATCCCTACTCTTAAAACAAAAGGAAGCAAATGGAAGGTGATAAAGGAGAATAGTGGAAAGGGGTAGAGGGCAGGGGTGGGGACAAGTCATGTAGCCCACTTTTGTAGGCAACCTGGAACTTGGCAGAGAAGCATGTTGCCAAGAAGAGTAAGTTTTAATCTGGTGACACGAGTTCTTCCTTTTCTCTGCCTTCTCAGCATTCTGTCCTAGGACACACTGGCCTCTACACCTCCACGAAGAAGCCCCCCACTACCACTGTGGCTCCACCAAGGGTTGAGAGAAAGATTTTTCAGTGCCAATGAAAATAAGACAGATTAATACTGCTATTCAATGAAAATTCTGAGCCAGTCATGTTCCATAAGAAAACTGCCTCGGGGGGAGGGGAAGGGAGGTGGGATTAATGGTAGTCAATATCTATCTGGGGACGGGGAGACACCCCTTATCGACAAGGGTGCCTGAACGAAGCATATTTGTATACCTAACCCTAAACTGTACCCCACAATATCAAAATAAAAAATATTGATATTAAAAAAAAAAGAAAACTGCCTCAAATCTAAAGTTGAAATGGTTGTCTGGCATTTGTCACTCAGGTCAGTAGACTAAGTTCACTTTGAGAATTTACAACCAAACAGTATTCAGCTGGCTTATTTTCAGAACTTCTAAGATACTAAAATAGCATCCAACTTATAAATGCTAATTGTGATAAAACACCAGAGTGAAATTTTTACTATGTACTAAGAATCAACCTGCAGTCCCTGAGCATTGCCAGGGGAGGGAGAGAGGGAGAAGGGTAAGGGGCACATGACAACATGAAGGGTACCTGGTCCATTACCAGAGGGAGTGAGGGCCACCTAGAAACCCAAACTTTACCTGCATGCAGGGATGTAGTAAATCCTCACTCCACAACTCTATAATAAAAAATAAATTATATATATAAAAAAAGAATCAAGGGTTTTTTTTTTTTTCCCCTAAAGAGAAATGAGGAGAAAAGAGGTCAACAGCAAGAACATGACAGAGTCAGGGTTCGAACTCAGCTTTTCTGACCCCACCTCCTGTGCTTCCCAGTGCCCAGACGAGGCTTAGTACATTCCTAACTCATTTTGTAAAACTGAGCTACCTGGGGGCAAAGCAGTTTATATATCAGGCAAAATCTTAGGCAAACAGATCACAGATAAAAAGGAAGAGATAAAATTCTGAGGTTCATTCCCAAATGCACGCTGTGCTCCTAGGAACCATCACCTTCCAGTTTCTACTGACGCAGGCCAGCCTCAGGGAAAAAGCCTGTATCATATAAAACAACTTCCTTGATCATGAGGCAGAACACACATCCACCCTACCTATCTTGATTTAACAAACTTTATGAAGTAACACCAGACACGGTGGCATGTGCCTGTAGTCCCAGCTACTCGGGAGGCCGAGGTGGGAGGATCACTTGAGTCCAGGAATCTGAGGACAGCCAGGACAGAAAAAAAAAGTAATATTACATCAGGGACCATTAAAAGCCAAGGTTCTGTTAAAATCTACACTTAGCAGAGAAGTAAATTTAAAATAGGAGTACCCCTCAGGTAATTTAACAGCCAACTTCAACAGTCCCCAAACATGCCAGTATGAAGATGAATGATATACAAGATTTTAGCTCATGAAAAACTTTTGAACATTATCTTGAACACTATTTTGTTAAATCTTTTATAGGTAACAAGTAAAACTATAATTTTCTAGTGTGGTTTAAAAGTACCAGATTTCTGAAGCAAAGCATTAGTCAACAAAATGATATGATGATGAATGATTTACCACACAGTAACTCTGGGGTCGTCCTGGTTCATGCCAGGCTTTAAATATATTCCAGGTTATTTTGAAAGCCTATTCTATTCCCAGAAAAAAAAGAAATTATAATATAAATAAGGCTGGTTTTGTCTAAATGAAAAAGAACTTGATTTTAGAATAAGTTTCCTACCAAGGACTTTTTAAAAAATT